AGGCAGCCGCAGCACACACCACATAGAATAACGCTGCGCATTTCAAGGCACTTCAGTGGACCTTAATGTTACCTGTTTTGTCAATGTAAAAAAAAACGTTTTAATATATCAATAAGAAAGTACGACAGGCTTTTCCTCAAGTCTTTATCACTTTATTAAAATTAAGCAAAACAAAACGACAAATGTTTACTTTCACAGGCCATCTAATATAGGCTTGTAGTAAGCTGTCTCTTGCTCAATTAGGTAACAAAAAATGTCGGGAAACGACACCTCTGGCCATTCCGTTGGGTCGTTTGTCCAGTCACAGATACCGTAAGGACAGAACGACCGAATACGGCTCAGTTGTTATGTGTATGTTGCTCTGTCGAGCGGCAGAAATGATTTTATGTAGGCCATTCTGAGTCAACACCATGCTTTTCCAATGAGGGGGAAAGGACTGTTCCCTTTCGAGTCGGTCACTCTACATTGCTATGGGAATTACCCTTTCCTCCAAATACTACTGAAGCCTTATTGAATCACGCTAGTGAAACTGGCCAATGGCATTCAAGCACACAAAATGTGAGGGGCTCCCACTCTATATAAAGCAGCGCTTGTACGTCATCTATTCAGAATCTTTTTCTTCAGCCAACCTTCTACGAGAAGCAAGAAGCCTGTCAACAAGACTACTCACCGTGATCTACACGCTGCAGCGGACACGACTTCTCTTCCCCTGCTGTGCTGAGGACGAAGATGATGCCATTTCGGTGGCAGCGTCTGCGAGAGAGGAGTGGTCTAACAGCCCGCTGGATTACACTGCGCCCCACGATAGCGACGCGGGGGACCTCCATCATAGTGATGTCGAGCTCCTTGGCGTCCTGTCCAAGGCAGTTGATGAGCTCAGTTTGGAGTGGGCGCCTCCTGCCGAGCCGGCCAGAAGCCGTCTGGATGAGTGGTACCACCAGTCGGATTGCGGCCAAAAGGACACCCCGTGGAGGCCCGGCCCCTTTTTCCCTGAGGTGCACGATGAGAAAAAGAAGTCGTGGAACACGCCGCTCACCAGTCAAGTGCACAACCCGGGATCCTCTCTCCTGTCTTCTGTGGATGTCGCTGACCAAGTGGGGTATCTTAAACTCCCTCCCGTGGAAGAAGCCATCGCTGCCAGTCTCTGTCCTTCAGCCGCGGCGAACTGGAGAGTGAGAAACACGTCTCTAACCTCTAAACCTTGCCGCGCCACTGCAACTTCGCCGGCAAGGCTTTCTCCGCGGCGGGCCAAGCAGCTTCAGCACTGCACGTTATGGCGATACTCCAGGTGTATCAGGCCAAGCTGTTCAAGTCTCTGGATGAGGATGGGCCGGACCCTGAAGTGTTCAAAGAGCTCCGACGCGCCACAGATCTGGCCCTCAGAGCGACGAAGGTGACAGCTCGAACGATCGGCCGCAACATGGGGAATCTTGTGGTGCTAGATCGTCACCTGTGGCTTATTCTGACCGAGTTAAAGGACTCGGAAAAAACGGCCCTTCTGGACGCTCCCGTGAATCCCTCAGGTCTCTTCGGAGCAGCGGTAGAGACATTCACGGAGCGCTTCGTTGAAGCGCAGAAACAGTCGAAGGCTATTAGCCACTTCCTGCCAAAGCGCGCCGTTGCGAACCCTCCTATGCGTTCCCGCTCCTCCTCAGCGCAGCGCGCAGGAAGACCGCACGCCTCTTCTGCTGCTGTTCAGCACGAACATGAGCCGGCGGTGAGACCAAGACAGCCTTGGCCCAAAGCGCCGTCATGGCTCGACATGCCAGAGACCCCGCCCTGATAGAGACGGCAGTAAATAAAATGTGCTGCCCACATCTGAATATTTGGGTTGAACTGTTCTGGAACAGTGTTGTAAATACAACTTAACCACTGATTTCTAGTCGTGTCCTCTTTTGGAAGGCTAAACAAAGTAGTTTCGCTTTCACAACGAAACACAGCGTCACACACCGCGGCCTCGAGTGAGTGGCGGCCGGTGGCTTGAGTGAGCAGAGGAGAACGGCGTGGCCGGCGGGCTTGCGGCAACCACATGTGACGACGGCTGGACGGCTGGACTCCGCTTCGTCCCCGGTGAAAGCCGATCCGGCGATTCACAGCGCGAAGTTTATGTATTTCCTCAGCGACCAGCACGGATCAGCTCCAGGCATGACGAAGTGGATATCGTCCTCTTTTGGAAGGCCAAACAAAGTAGTTTCACTTTCACAACGAAACACAGCATCTTCACCACATGGCAGCGGCGGCAACAACAATACTACAGCGAGAATAAAAGTTACGCCTTCTTTCTTTGCTTGAACATTTGGGTGGCATTATGCAAATCTTCCTACATCGTGACATAGACATGTGGGGGGGTGTTAGAACGAGCCATTTTAGGTAGGCGTGGTTGACTCTTAACTTTTATAAAGAATATCTCTTTGGATTTGGAACTTTAGTCTTTGCAACTTTACAGATCTTCTTTATGCACCAAGAGCTTGTAACACTTCAAAGAGAAAGGAAAAATTGAAATCGTATCATATGACCCTTTTAATCGCTATAGGCCTACAGATTAAAAGGAAGCAATAAATTCAACATAATCCTATAAAACCACATTTAATTCTTCCAAGGTAAAAACAGCGTTAATAATATTAATAATATTTTTACTTTTAGAAAGTACCTTCGAAACTTCTGCATGGTGCAGGTTACTGACGTCATCACCACCGCAAGTTTAGGTCTTAGTTTATCAATAATCAAAAACAAATTACAATTATTTTTTTGAGGATACAAACGTCTCTTAACACGGTTAGTCGCACTAGCCGTTCTTAAGTTAAAGTCAAAAGTTGTATTTGTTAACATTAGTTAAATGACTGTAAAGTGAACTAACAAGAACAAACAACGAACAGCTGTTATTAACTAATACTAACAAAGCTTAATAAATAATGTAACAAATGCATTGTTCATAGTTAATATTAGTTAATACATCAATGTCAACAAATGAAACCTTATTGTAAAGTGTTACCCTAAAAAACTATGTTTTGCCTGATAGAGAAAAATATATAGTTGACAAAACCACTAAATTATAAAATTAAAAAATTAGTCAGAAGAGTTTAGTAACCTTCTGTTAAGTAACATTAACCAATTTAGCAAACAGACACAGCTTTATCCACTAAAACATTTATTTAGCTTTCAGTTTCAGTTGCCAATTCAAGTAAAAAAAATAAAAAAATAAACCACTCATTCATTCATTCATGCTGTAGTAGCAGTCCATAGAACAGAAGCCAGCAAACTCTTTGTCTGAATAGAACGCTGTGAAGACCCAATTCTTTCCATGGCCACAGTATCCAGTAGAGTTTTTGTAGATGCATCTACAGCCATCACACCTGGTGAGCTCAAACTCTGTATGTCTTCTTCACATCTGGACTGACAGACTTCCAGTCCACGATACCTAAGAAAAAAAATCTGAATTAATGCAATAAACTTTCTAAATATTTTTTAAAAACCTTGTTCAGTTAATAAAAGTACTAAATATACATACTGTCCAGCCAGGCAAAGTGAGCTTTTCTTCGAAAACTGATGCCATAAACTTTCTGCACACTAATGACAGAGTGAGAAAGGCTCCATCTCCTTCTTTATAGACAACATCTAGAAGAATATGTCTGAGCAGCTCTGATGGTAGCGGAATAAAAAACAATTATATACAAATACACACAGAAAAATCAAGGTACAGGAATGTACCTAAAAGAGTACAAATGCTTTGTCGCGGGGTACAGCAATGTACCTCTTGTTTGTACCTCTAAAAGAACATTTATTCACTCCTAGTGACAGAAATGTACCTTATGTCCTAGTATGGTTTAAAATTAAATCCTGATATACAAAACACAGAGGCAGTGCACGTTTCACAATTTTTTAGTCATGACAAATTTCTGAGCATAAAAGTTCAGAACATTTTCAATTCAGTTTTTATAACTCATATACTGGATATTCTGTACCCAACATTGACAAAATTCATTTAACATATAGAATGTTTCAATTCCTTCCAAATTTAAAGACAAAACTGGAAGCATCATGCACAGTAAACTGTTCATTAATCAACTTTTAGTGCTAAACACATAGGCAGTGCATGCTTAACAAGTGTTTATAAAAAAATAATAATTCTAGTAGTAAGAGCATGAAATACAGAACATTAGCAAATCGATTTCATAAACAGGATATTCTGTATAAAACCTAAAAAAAACTAATTTCAAATTTACATTTATGATGTGTTTCAATTCCTTCAGAATTTAAATACAAAACTGATAGCATCAGGCCCAACAAGCTACTCATTAATCAGTTTTAAATACTAAACTCTCAAGCATTTTAACACATCCTATCCTTGTGCTTCTGCAGACTTTTTTAAACTTTTGTCCCTCTTTAGACCTACTAATTATCTGACTAATTATTAGTGTGTCAACTTAAACAGTCTGTTCACCCAAAAATTTAAAATCGTCATCATTTACTCATCCTTCTGTTGTTCCAAACTTGTATGAGTTTTTCATCTGTTTAACACAAAAGATATTTTAAAGAATGTTGGTAACAAAACAGTTGATGGTAGCTATTGATTTCTATAGTTTTTTTTTTATTTCCTCAAAATATCTTCTGTGTTCAATTAAAGAAGGTTTGGAATACCATGAGGATGAGTAAATGACCATTTTTGGATGAACTATGACTTTAATGAAGGGGGCAACAATTCTTTCTATTAATATTTATATATAATATTCAATTATATTATAATATAATTGTACTGCTGACTCTTCACTGAGACAGTCATTATTGTTACCATAAGGCCCAAAAATGAAGTACATATGCTTCCTGTAGATGTTTTCTAAAAGAATGGAATCACAAAAAAGTGGATTGGCACTCATCTATACCACAGGTTATAATACAATTTGGTTCATGTGCATGTACAATTCCAACATGTTGGATTAACTTCAAAAGAGTGAATGTCCTTTGAGTGCACTTTGGGCAATGGTACAGTTGAGGCATGAGGATCTAATACAGAAGGCTAATCATCCGGAGTAAATTTACTTGCAGTGGCTTGTCTCCCTCTTCCACAATTTTGACAATGTGCCTCTGAAGGAAAGTCAGTGTCTTTTTCAGGTGTGGTGGATATGCAATGTTGAAAGCAAAATACATACAGAAGGCTGTTATGAAGGCTTCATCAAGGCTGGTGCACTGGCACACGTCTATTCCATCTACTTTCACCACACTGAACCCTGCCATTTTCCAGTCAGTATCCATCAGTTGTATGGTTGGAAAGGGTGTAGCAGGGTCCCCCTACATTAATAATAATAATAATAATAAAAATACAAAATTGAAAAAGCTTTCCAAATTCATCAAATTTTGTTACAGCCTCTTTGGCTCAGACAGTACAGCTACATATAGTGCAGAACTGCAAAAACAATTAGAAGGCTAATGTATAAGGTTCACAATATATGATGCATTTCATGTTCTTGTATAGACTGATAAATCTTACATTGTTTTCTAAAACCATTGTTTTAAGATTTTTAATAGATGGGCTAAAAGCGTACAGAAGATGTAATTTTTTTTTTTTTTTACTATACTCACTCCAGCAGGTGTCTTTAAGTATGGGTATTTTTTGAGTACATCCTCCACAGACATTCCTTCCATGCTTTCTCAACATCTCCAGGAGAATGTTCATGCCATGTGGTCTTGACTTGGACAGTCGATATGTCTGGATGTGTTTTCCGAAACTCACTTTGTAGCACATTCACATGGGCCTCAACAGACATTGAATCCTCCCCAACACAAGTTTCCTTAATCAGAACAACAGAAACAGATAATGTTTAGACCATGACAGATAATGACAGCTAAGACAAATATGTGAAACATCTAAACACTTATTGAACAATAAGGTGCTTTAGATAAATAAAAAAAAAAAAAACACATTGAACTGCATAAACATTAAGATGATGGCCAGGCAGTGAAAAAGTGGAGTATATACAAAAAAAGATTTAAATGTCTGTAGTATCTGCCTTACATTGTCCTGCACTAAGTGAAAATGTAAAATTGATTAACAGTGCAAAAATAAATTATGCATATGGCAGTGGGCTTACATATGCTACACTAGCTGGCTTTTGACCCAAACCTGCAAGTGGTGCACGTTCTGCTTTAAATTTCCGGTTTAGGGACATGTGTCAGGTGTGCTAAAGACACAAATTTGACTGTTTGTCATTTTCCTGTGTATCTTAGTACAGTTGTAATAGCAGAGGTGTTAATAATTATTGTACTTACAGGATGTATTCTGTACTGTATTGCACAAAAAGGATACCGATACAAACTACCAACTCGGAAGGCTTCGCTTTCGATGCATATGCGGTCATCGTTTTGTCTCACTGTAACATGTATCTGTCAACAACAATAAACTAATTACTAAAGCTGCAAGATATAATGCAAAGGAAATAAATTATGATCGTATTGGAACAAGCTACCGTAATAAACATATTTGTGGTATATAAAACATATAAACGTATTATGAATTATACCACGTCTTACCACCACCACCTTCTCTTGTCTCTCTCTCTCTCTCTCTGGTTTTATTGGCGGGTCGCAACCAACTTGTTCAGGTGCATACCGCCACCTACTGTACCGGGGTGTGCAACTTCAGGGCTTCATGTGCTTAGCATGGTTATAATAAAAAAAATGAAAATAAAAAAAAATAAAATAAAATAAACTTTTATATTAATAATTACAAATACCCCCTTCCCATTTCCTATATGCTGTGCTCTAACCCTGTATCTTTAAGAAAATTAAAGAGAGCCTTGCTACACCTTCTCTTGTCTAAAGGAAATTACGTAAATGTATGTTTACCGCTGATTGGCCAACACAGTAAAACTCCTTTCACCAATGAGAAACCTTTTGGCACGCCCCTACCTTTCGGCACACCCATTGCTTCAAGCTGCAGCTACCCCTGTCTCTGAATTTGTGTACAGTTTATGGAGCTAATCGCTATAGCCCCGCTAAAAATGGCCTAGCGACGCCCATGCTTCTTACGTCCATTTCGGAGAACCAGGACAAATATTTTAATTGATCGCTCAGGCATTTAAGTGGCACCGAAATGAGGCACCGAAATTTGCGTTCTGATTCGGTTCCAGTACATACCGGTTACATAGGTTTCGGTACCCAACCCTACATACAAGTCTGATTAAGTATATTTATATTATGAGAACTCTCTGAAGATTTTAGCATGGTAATGGATATGACAATGTTAATGTTTTTGGTCTTGGCGGAATCTGCTACGCTGCTGCTGAATTGCTGCTGCTATTGGTTATTTGGTGTATTTGTAGATTATTGCTGCTGCTGCAAGCAAGTACAGGAACTTGCTACTGCCAATACATAAGCTGATATGGTGCTGTGAGTATTTAAGACATACTGCTGCTGTACAAATAGCATATAATATAACCCGTAGCAGATCTATACAGGTGGAGCTGGGGAAGGTAAAGGGTTTCAGAGGAACACTGAAAAGTGCTGCAATGCTCAAGCGAATGCTAATCAGCCATTTAAATGTAAAGCAGCAAGCTCATTGGCTGCATATGCAACATGAACCAATCAGCTTGTGACAAGTCGCTTAGTGCTAAAAATGTCATCAGTTATGTTAAGAACCCATCAGCCTGCGCCATCTAGAGTTTCATGACAGAACTTGGTATATATTTGTTGTTTCACGGTGACAGGGCCACCCCTGCTCTCAGCCAATCAGATTCGAGGACCAGAAAGAACTGTTGTGTATATATATACATATAATGGGAGAGTAAAAATATTTTTAAAACGTACACCGTTCAAACTAGGCTGCTTATGTTGAAGTGTTTGGGATGTGGCTTTTAATGATGAGACCTTTTTTGTAATCAGGCTCTCAAAAAGTATATAACAATTTGGATATAGATTTATCGGCCAACATATCGGTTATCGGCTTTCAAAAATAAAGAATAATCGGTTATCGGTATCGACCAAAATTTTCATATCGGTGCATCCCTAATATATATATATATATATATATATATATATATATATATATATTTGTTACCAGTCAGAGGTAAATCAGAATTTTAACTTATATTTTCACTAGGAAGTGGTGTTATTGTTTTTTGTACAAAATTATTGTTGATGTACATAATGACTTCATCCTAGGCCGGAGATCGTGTATTGTGCATTTTTCAGCAAAATCTGTGACTTGAATTAAGTCTGAATACTTCCTATTAAGAGCATTAATATGGATCTTTTTCTTTGTTCTGTTTTGTCATACACCAAACTTCAAACTCATCAACATCACTTTGTTCATTCTTGAAGTGAACTTTGGCCTGTTTGGTGATTAGATTAACAGTTTTGAACTGCACTCTTGAACTGAATACAATGCTTCCGGTGTGCGATAGGCCAAAAAAGGTCAATAGGTCAAAAAGATACAAATATAGTTCATGAATCAATTTAAAAAAAGAATGTTGAATAAAATACTGAAATGAAGCAGAATTCAGAGCATCCACTTACAAACTAAACATGAGGTGCAATTGAATGTCACTATGTAATTTTTTTAAATTGCTTGGATTGTCTGCACAGAGTCACATGGATGACGCACTACACACATCATGCCAAGTTTCTACATGTTCTCTGATTTGGGCAGTCGTGGCGTAATGGTTAGAGAGTCGGGCTTGTAACCTGAAGTTTGCGGGTTCAAGTCTCAGGTTCAGCAGGAATTGTCGGGGGGGGGGGGAATAATTCAAGTTTATTTGTATAGCGCATTTCACGATACAAATCAACTTTACAGCAAATTAAGGTTCTACAATATTTAGTGGTAGCTTATCTGTGGTGACTGTCAGTTAATGTACATATGGCAGAAATGTACGGAAAAATCGATTAAAGACGTAATCAAACAGACGATGAACACTATTAACAGCAATTATTATATGATGCAATCAAACTTATAGCAAAATGTGGTAGTTCTGTAAGTTGTTTCAGGGTTGGCATCATCTGAGGTCCTCTGAGGGGTTGGCATCATCTCTTCTCAGGTGGTCTGGATCCAGACTGAAGCTTGTGTAAATCCTAGCATTGTGTGTGCACTTGAATGGGTTAAATGCAGAGCACAAATTCTGTGTATGGGTCACCATGTCACTTCACTTTCACTTTCACTTTAATCCACCAAAATAATTCACTGTGTGATGATGATATTCATTCGATACGTTCTTGAATCCAGTCCAGTGTTTCCTAAGCACCCCAGTGCATGACTCTTTAACGCTCTGCATCCAGTATATTACCCACTGCCGAGTTTTCTTTTTGCTTCTTTTTTTCTGGTTGACAGGTGAACATAAATCCAGTTCTGGATTCTTAATTTGTTTGAAGTAAATAAATGAGCATGTTTTTATTGCAAAAATAGCCATTCCCCATTTTCCTCATAGGAATGAATAATGATGTTTTGTTTTCCACCAGTAGTGGGCGTGGTATACTTGCAATATAATACTTTTAATAACACACTCACCCTCCCTCCCCCCCTTAAGACTGATTGACAGTTGACTTTGTAAGGCATTGGAAATGCAAGTGCTAAGGGCATTGCGATTTTATTTGAATTTTGTGAGGGTTGGAGCAGGACGCGTACAAAGTGAAATAGCTAATGGTTGATTTTCTATTGCTATTGCAAAATGACAGGGTCATAATAACTCGTAAGACATTGGAAATGCAATTGCAAATGGACTTTGTGTTTCCGTTTGCAATTTGGCAGACATGTTATATAACTTACACGGAAAAGAAAATGGAAACACAAATGCACGATTTGCAATTGCGTGTGGATTATGTCACAATGTATGCGTCCACAAATTGAAAATGCAATTCCATATACAATTTCTTTTGAATATTGTCCTAAATGTCATTCCATAGGGCGTGTTTACGTTTTCTGGATGGCCAATCAAAGCGTTTTCACGAGTTTACATGGTCCTTTCGTTCTGCTCAGAGCTGTGAAATGATACGAGCGGAAAGAAAAGCCCGTCGTCATGTGATCCGTCTACATGCGTGAGCCTGACTGATCAATACACACACCGAGAAGGATGGCAAACACTGGCAAGACTGAAAAATTCCAGCTGCACGTTCCAAATCTCGTGGAATTATGTCAGGGTAATTGGTGCATTCTGTTTTAAAAGGGTATAGCATGTAGCATGACTGTTTTCTTTCATTGTACTTGAGAAACCCAAGTGACATGATACGAGTCCGATCTTCAAACTGGCTGTTTTAAACAGTTTTGAATTTTTTTTAACGATTCTTTATCTTTAGTTTAGTTTGTTTGTATTTCGGCTGATGTAGACTGCAAACACCAGCCATTGCAACATTAAAGTTTTTTTTTTTTCTGGCTAATTAAATGTTTTACACAAAGAAATGAATAAAATGCAAATGGTTAAAATTATTAAAATTAAATCATTAAAATTATGTAAACTTTTTACCGACTACAGTAAATCAATGCATCAATGCGTTCGGTCCTTGATGTATAGTCTATTTGTACTAAGGTTACTGCGACGAACAACAGCGAGCTAAACATTAACAAACATTTACTGTGTGCACTTTTAAGTTATCCTTGCATTAATAATGTCCTTACAACTTTTTTACTTAGGATTTTCTGACTTTAAGGGATTGGTTGCAGCTGGGCACACTTTTCTTCATTGTAACTATTTGTGTTGGGTGTGTGTTTGTGTTACAGTGCTGCAATCAGGACTGAATAAGAATTTTTCTGATGTAAAAGTGTCTGTTACTGACTGTCCAGATCTTACACAAGAGCCTTTTGGGTTTCCTGTCAAGGGTGAGTACAAATGTTATTCCATATGTGTCTTACTTCCAAGGTTTTACAGGCTCTTTGAACAACACTTGTTACTCTTTTATTAGGTCTGTGTGGCAAACCTCGTATCACTGATGTGGGAGGTGTACCATATCTGATTCCTTTGGCCCAACCGGACAAGGTGCGTTAATAAACTGCAAATGTGACTGTCATAAAAAACACAATTCTACCCTAACCGATGCAAACTTTACCCTGTAAGCAGAGGTGGACAGTAACAAAGTACATTTACTTGAGTGTTTACTTTAAGCATACTTGAGTATGCCATTAGAGAGCATTTTTGAAAATTTTGCTTTTGTGTCAAATTAGGGCTGGGCAAAAATTCATATCTCTGTATTTTTTGCCCGATTTGCGATATACGGTATATATCTCGGTGTTTTCGTATTTGTAAAGTGAATGTAACCATGTAAGCCTTTATATTACGTGCAAAAAAGGGTTAAAATCACATTTCATTCTAACATTGTAACATTGCAATATAAAAACAAAAATAAGGCTTTTAAAGCGGAAGTTAAATTCACTAAACTAAAAAGAACAGAAGCACAGAGTTGTGTTAGGCTATTTTGATTACCCCATTACAGTCACTTTACAGTCAGTGCTATCATAAAAATAGACTTACTTGTAGGTTTAAAATTCTACATGTCACATTTATTGTCCAACTACAAATATTTCAGCGAAATATATATTTTAATATACGAGCCGCTTAAACTAATATGCGAAACGAAACTATAAACTATACTGTGTCTTACCAGTTTTTAAAGGCCTTAATATGAAGCTTGTCACATGTTTAGAACAAATTAGATTATGCACTTTCTTCGCAGCAGCACAATGTGTCATCTGCTAATTTTCAGATGTGCTCGTATCAAACTACTGTATATCGATATAAATGGTATTGCCTCATATCGAATCGCTTATAAAGAAAATATCGATATATCGTACAAACTCGATACCGCCCAGCCCTATGTCAAATAAATCTTGCTGTTTTGCTTTTTTGTTAAAGCAGTGTTGCTGTTGTAATGTTATATAGCTACAGTTGTGTTGCTGGGTTCCCTTTAGAACAGTCCCGTTGCGTCGCTGATGCTTTTGGGGAAACTCCTGTTTACTCTGATAACGAAGCCTGATTTGTTCACGTTCGTGTTGCTGCATGAACCAATGGCACTTCAACCCTGCCAAAAGGGGAGGAGCCGACCTCTAAATAAGTTGGCTCTAAGCGCCATTTCGTCAGAATTTTTCTCCTTCAGTGACAAAGATCATCTCCTCGCTGATTCTGCAAGCAAGAATTCGAAGAAGGAAGAAGCTCAGCCTGCTGCTCGCCACTGTAAAAGGAGCCCCCGGCAGCGGAAGAAGCCAGAAGCCCCCATTCTAAGAGCAAATTTCTGAGCAAATTTCCGAGCATTTCCTGCGATGTGTGCGTCACCTGTCTGGGCAGCGCCCACGTAGAGGCTGCTCTCACTGCGAGAGCATGGGTCTCGCCCTTCTTCGCTATCACCTTCTTTAATGAAGTGTTAATCCTTCATTAAATCCTTCTATTTCCACCACTCTCACCACTGTTGACGGCGCTGAAGAAAGAGGTTATAGCAAGCTCCCCCCTCTGGAAGAGGCGGTCGCTGCACATCTGTGCCCACCATCAGCCCTGGGGTTGAAAGCCCATGCAGCACATCCATCTAAGCCCTGCAGAACTACCTGTCACCTGACTACCTTCACACGATGGCGGTGCTTCAAGTGTTCCAGGCCAAACTTCTCCGCACCATGAACGAGTCCAGCCAGGGTTCTGATGCCTTTAGAGTGCTGTGCACAGTGACCTGGCTCTGCATGCTACTAAGGCCACTGCACAGGTGATTGGCAAGGCCATGGCCAATTTGGTGCTGCTGGAGCGCCACCTTTGGCTGAATTTAATGGAGATCAGGGACGCTGACAAAGTCTCCTTCCTAGACTCACCAGGGACTGTTTGGCCCTTCTGTGGATGGGTTTGCTGAGTGGTTTACAGCGGCACAGAAGTCATCGCAAGCAATGTGCCACTTTCTGCCGAAGCTCACCAATGTGGTGGCTGGTTCAAGTCGCCAGAAGGCTCCATCCGCTCAGCAGCCTGCCAAGCCAGTGCCGCTTCAGCCCCAACCTAAACCTGAGCCTGGGCTTCAGCAGGGCCCCTGGACGGCGAAATGCTACCCGTTTCTGAAGTGCCAAGGTCCCTGCCCCAGCGTTACGTTGGACTCTAAGCCTCTGAAGCTGTCCTGATCCAAACGCTGAAAGGAAGAGGAGAGGGTCAGTTCTCACAGAGGCCAGAACTCCCTCAAAGAAAGCTTGCGCTCGCGCTCGCTCTCCATCCCTCTACTTAACACTGAGTGATGGAAGCTCCATTCAAGTTGGGCCCATCCTTCTCATTCGGTGCACGCCCAAGCAAACTGCCGCTGTGATAGCGGACCCAAATACTCAAAAGAGCATTTCTCCTCTCCTCATTATTACAAATGTCAGTTCCCCGCCCCCTTTCGAAAAACTAGAATCACTTGCCATTCGCTTCAGGCTTGGAAAGCGTGCTAACCTTTCTACAAGAGCTGTTGGATAAGGGGCACACCCCTTCCACACTCAAACTGTATGTGGTAGCCATCGTGGCGAATCATTCTCTTGTGGCTGGCCAATCAGTCAGCAGAAACTACTTTAATCCACCTCGTCCTTATACTGTGCAGACTTTGGACTTATCCATAGTCCTCAGAGCCCGATGGGGCCCTCCCTTTGAGCCGCTCCAGTCATCTGGCTTGCAGCCCCTCTCGTTTAAGACCGCCCTCCTTTCTAGCATCGGTCAAGCGAGTGGGTGAGCTGCAAGCACTGTCAGTCAGTGCTTCCTGTCTTGAGTTTGGGCCTGACGACTGTAGAGTTGTCCTCAAACCAAGACACGGCTATGTGCCGAAAGTGTTCTCCACTGCGTTTAGAGCACAAGTCATCACCCTTCTGGCACTCCCCAATTCAGATGGTGAGCAGGGTCCCAATCCACTCTGCCCGGTTCGGGTTCTTAGAGTGTATGTTGAGCGCTCTGGCCTGTTTAGGCACTCAGAGCAGTTCTTTGTATGCTTCGGAGGTCACTCTAAAGGGCTGCCGGTTACGAAGCAGAGATCTCGCTGGATAGTTGATGCTATAGCCTTGACTTACGCCTCAGCAGGCTTGCAGTAACTTAAAGGTGTGAGGGCCCACTCCACCAGAGGAATGGCCTCTTTCTGAGCTTTGTCCAGCGGGATTTCTATTGGTGACATTTTTGCGGCCACTGGCTGGTCATCACTGTTAACCTTTACCAGGTTTTATAAATTGGACATTCCGGTTACTAACGTAACCTCGGTTCCCTGAGATAAGGAAACGAGTGTTGAGTAGGCTGCCTTGCTATAAGGCTGAACACGAATCAATGACTGTCGCTTCAGTCGAAAGATTCTGATGAAATGGCACTTAGAGCCAACTTATTTGGAGGTCGGCTCCTCCCCCTTTGGCAGATTGAAGCCCCATTAGTTTGTGCAGCTACACGTACGTGAACAAATCAGGCTTTATTATCGGAGTAAACAAGAGTTTCCCCTAAATAGTTTTTTGTCAACTCACTTGTTTAATTTCTATAGGTTTTTAACATTATAAAAGCTCTTTATTCCAAAGATACTACAAGCTAGTTAGTGTATAGGCGTAATGTATTGTAAGTTGCTTCAGAGGCATAAGGTTTTGCAAGTATTACATAAAACAATTATAAAACAGTGTGTTGACATAAAAAATGAAATTTACTTTTGGTACTTAAGTACTTTTAAAAGCAAGTACTTCTGTACTTTTACTTAAGTAAAAATCTGTCTTTACAACTTTCTCTTGGAGTAATATTTGACCAGCAGTATCTGTACTTCCACTCAAGTAAGGGATTTGTGTACTTTGTCCTGCTCTGCCTGTAAGGTGTACAACATGAACACTGTGTCCAAGGAGGTGGAGCTGCCTGGTGGATTTTTTCTTGGTGCTGGTGCTGTTTCCTGCAAGACAGTTGGCATGAATGGAGAGGTCTGTATAGCTGTACTAAAAGAAGCAGCATGAAGTTTTTCCACATTAAAATGTTTAGACCTAATAAAATGGAATGAAATTGTAAAAAATCAATGAATAAAAGAAAAAAATGTGAATTTGATATGAACTGATATGAATTTGCAGTGGCATCAGTAAACAAACATTTTTATTTGTAATGTCAACAAAAAAAGTTATGCCACTACAAAACATATATTTTTCTTTTTAAATACACAGCCTTTTGGTTTAATGTGGAATTCGGTGGGGTTTATAACACTGTTTTTGTCCCGTTTTTTCATAGTTAATGCCTCTGATGCTGACTGAAGCTGAAGGAAGACCTGCAGTGAATGCCAGTTATTTTTCATCCATCAACCCAGTGGATGGAAAATGTCTGCAGGAGAAATACAGTGACAGGTTCCATGACTGTGACTTCGGCCTCCTTGCAAACCTTTATGCATGTGAGGGCAAACCTGGAAAGGTAAAAACCATGGGGACTTTGCTCTTCATATTACACTGACAGAATTGCAGCACTATAATCCTAATACTGTGATGTATTTCCTTTTGTAATGGCCAAAAATGATGAAACGGTTATCAGGAGTGAGCTATTGATAATTTTTACAGAACCCAAAACTACTTGGAAAGGCATTTATTGAATATTTGCGCACTGCTATTCATGTGGATTTTGCAAATGTTTTTAAAATAAGTCTCTTGCTCGCCAAGACCACATTTATTTGATTAAAATACAGTAAAAACAATTTTGTGAAGTATTATTACAATTTAAAATAACTTAATTTTTATATATTTTGAAATGTAATTTATTCCTGTTTTATTCCTTTATTCCTAACCTCTACTGCCGCGACTCTTGAAAAACTTTTTCATTCCGTGTCGCCCCATCAAGCTCTCGCTGGATCCGCTTCTCTGCTGTCAACGAGAGGAACGTCTGTACTTCCTCAACCGAAAAACTTTTTAATTCCGCGTCGCCCCATCAAGCTCTCGCTGGATCCGCTTCTCTGCTGTCAACGAGAGGAACGTCTGTACTTCCTCAACCGAAAAACTTTTTAATTCCGCGTCGCCCCATCAAGCTCTCGCTGGATCCGCTTCTCTGCTGTCAACGAGAGGAACGTCTGTACTTCCTCAACCGAAAAACTTTTTAATTCCGCGTCGCCCCATCAAGCTCTCGCTGGATCCGCTTCTCTGCTGTCAACGAGAGGAACGTCTGTACTTCCTCAACCGAAAAACTTTTTAATTCCGCGTCGCCCCATCAAGCTCTCGCTGGATCCGCTCCTCTGCTGTCAACGAGAGGAACGTCTGTACATCCTCAACTTCCGAAACAGACATTTTTTGGTTGTTAAAAAAAGGTGCGCTCGTTCAAAACAGCTGCGTTCGATCCTTTGCTGGCTGTGCTGATGTAAATCTAGCGGTTCTGTTGTGTCTCTGTGTCGTAAGTTCAGTGACGCAGGTAGTGACGATTCTCTCCGGCCAATCAGTGATCAGCAGAGATTACACGTCACATTTTGGAAACGGTATGATTTCCTTTTGAAAGTTCGTGTTTGTTTTTCTTTTTTTCTTTTTTTTGTCCACCATGTATCTGTCAGCAGTACAGTTACTGTGCCTTGACCAGAAGAACCGCTCTTTGGAGGAACATTTGGAGGAATTCCTCAGTCTCGTACCAGCGACATCGTTCCCGGATGACTGCTTCTGCAGCTTCCTGCATGCCAGCCTCAACACTGCCACCAGAAAGCCCTTGAGGGAGCTTTGCCGAATATGTAGAGTGGGTGCTGGTGTCCTGTGAATCGCCGCTCACAGTGGACATTGTCAAGGCCTCAGGCCTGCTGTTAGCCACCTCTTCCCGGGCTTGATGAGCCCGTAGCGGTCTACTATCTCTGTGTGCTCCTCTCCACCTCAACCCCTGGCTCCTGCGCCTATGCTCCTTCCACCCTCAATGTCAGCAGTGAACATCAGGCATGTGCCCTCGCTGAGCTCCCTCGGTACGTCGGCTTTACCTGTGTCGGACATTGCACTACTTTTTGCCATGGTCTTGCGGACCGTTCGCTGCACTTCGTCCCTCCACCCCTTCGGCTTGCTGCTAGCTCCGCCCTCCCTCAGGCTCCACCTCTGCCCTCGGTCACTCCCGCTCAACCTCTATCGCGGCCACCTAGGTCTTCGGTGTCTCTCCGCTTCATTGAATCTCCAGGTGCGTGGTGGGCTCTTCCCTCCACGTCATCGTCACCTCCAGTTGTCCCCCATGGTGGTGTCCGTGACTACATCCCCATGGATCCTCCCTCCTGTGACGCCGCAGTGGTGCACAGTCTCAGCTGTGGCCTGGATCAGTGACCATCTTCCTCTTCTCAAGGCTACATCTTGGACTTCACTTTCACGACCACGCTGGGCTTTTTTGTTTGACCTCCTCCCGGATGCCCTTCCTCCTCCAGAGTCTCATCCGTTTTCCATCCTTCGGCGCATGGTCGTGCCTTCTAGAAGGGGGCGTTCTGTCACACACATGCACACTCTCTATTGGCGCTTTTCCACTGCGTGGTACGACTCGGCTCGGTACGGTACGGCACGGCTCGGTTGGGCTCGGTTTGCGTTTCCACTGCAGTTTAGTATCGCTTTAGAATGGGCGGGATTATTCACATGTTGTTATAGTTGCGCCGCCTCTACTGCCGCAACTCCTAAAAAAACGTTTTCATTCTGTGTCGCCCCATCATGCTCTCGCTGGATCCGCTCCTCTGCTATCAACGAGAGGAACATCTGTTCTTCCGCAACAGGGGGAACAGCCACTTTTTGGTTGTTAAAAAAGGTGCGCTCGTTCAAAACAGTTGCGTTCGATCCTTCGCTGGCTGTGCTGATTTAAATCTAGCGGGTCTGTTTGTATCTCATATCGCAAGTTCAGTGACGCAGGTAGTTACGATTTTCTCCGGCCAATCCGTGATCAGCAGAGTTTACACGTCATGTTTTGGTAATGGTACGGTACGCTTGAAACCCCAACTGAGGTGGTACTAAAAAAACTACCAGGTACTGTACCCAGTGGAAAACCCCCAAAAAGTGAACTGTACCGAGCCGTACCGTGCCGTACCATGCAGTGGAAAAGCGCCATAAGAGGACTTTGTTTATGTTTGCACCGTTTTCCCACCTAAGTTAAATGGTTGTCATGGTTATTGATTTTGATTGTATTATGTTCAGCTGTGTTTGCCTTATCACTGTCCCTATTTAAGCTAATGCCTTTTCAGTTTGTGTTGTTCGGCCTCGTGTACACTACCCTGGTTTTGTGTGAGTTATCCTGTATTTCTGACAGCCTGAGAATTATTACATTAAAACACCTTGGAATCTAGTATTTTTGTCTTTGTGCGTGTGCTCTTATGCAATCGAGTTGTAACAACAACATTATTATCAAACAGTAACAAGGTTTGAAAAACTACCATTGCAGGTCATTGAGGTGAGAGCCTGCAGAAGAACTGGAGAGGACAGTCTTGTGAGCTGCATGAGAAATACCATGGAAGAACATTATGGGGAGAAGAGCGTGGCCCTGGGGGGAACTTTCGTCGTACAAAAGGGGAAGGCAAAGATCCATATTATGGTAATAAAAAAAAAAAAAACATAATTTAAAAAATAAACATTTGGATGTCCTAAAAAAGCACAAGAGTCCAGATGTAAAAATCTGCCTAATTTTTTTCATAACAAAAAGTTCAAAGTTAATGCATTCAGTTTCTAAATAAGAAATCTTTGTATAAATATTATATTAAGCAAATTGTATGGATCAAAAAGTATATATTTATAGCATTGTGGATTCTATAGATAATAGTAAAACAATATTTCACAATGTTACTATTTTTAACATAAGTGAACATAACAGACTTATTTCAGAAATGTTATCTTACTGACCCCAAACTTTTGAATGGAAGTGTACAGTCTTTTTATGCTTTTCAGTTTTAGTTGTAATACTGTGATTCTATTTTGTGTGTGTGTTTGTGTACTGGTAATTCACTACGTTATGGGGACCAAATGTCCCCACAAAGTATAGAAATACCAGTAAATTTTGACCTTGTGGGGACATTTTTTGGCCCCTATGAGGAAACAAGCTTATAAATCATACAGAATGAAGTGTAAATGCAGAAAGTTTCCTGTGAGCGGTAGGTTTAGGATTAGGGTAAGGGGATAGAAAATACAGTTTGTACAATATAAAAACCATTATTTCTATGGAATATCCCTATAATGATAGGAATACCTGTGTGTGTAAGCAGTCACGGATAAACTATAGAATAAAGTAGCATCTTGAACTATGATTAAACTTAAAAATGGTAGAGCAGAAATGAAGTGATGGAAGAAATGATGTGAAAACGTAATCTTTTCACTGCTCTGTCTTTAAGCCACCTGAATTCTCCGCCTGCCCTCTAAACACCAATGAGGATGTCAATAACTGGCTCAGGCATTTTGAAATCAGTGCTCCACTGATCTTTCAAACTGTCATGGTGTCCAGAGACCCAGTGAGTACCAACCCACCGTGTCATACCTCCATTTCACTGACAATATTATTCTGCATCTTTGCTAAATATTTCATATAAACTAATTTTTGTTGCTCCCAATTCACAGGGTCTTGACCTGAGAGTGGAGCATACTCATGGCTTCAGTCATCATGGTGAGGGGGGCCATTACTACATAGACACCACTCCAAACTCAGTGGAGTACCTGGGATACTTCCTGCCCGCTGAGTTCATCTACCGTATCGACCGACCCACTGAGACACACAATATTGGCCGAGATTAAACTTTTGACAGTTCTTATTTTTAATGCTATAACTATAGTGCTTATAATGCTTTTATAGTTTTTGCCCTGTTTACCAGGAGCAATTTATGTTGATGAATAGTAAATAAATATAATAAGTATTGAGAGATTTGAGCACTTTTCACAATCCAATACATTTTGTACTACTTGATATTCAGGCCATGTCAAATAGCTAATTGTTTCCCATTAATTTCACAGGGAGATTAGCCTATTAATTGAAACATTAGAAGAACTGAATTTTTCATAACTGCACTACATTTTTGCAACTGATTTGGCACAGCAAAAAAAATATGGCACCAAATCAGCATATTATATGATTTCTGAAGGATCTTGTGACACTGAAGACGAGTAATGGCTGCTGAAAATTCAGCTTTGGATTCACAGGAATAAATTACATTTTAAAATCTATTAAAATAGAAAACAGTTCAACGTCTCAGAAAACAAACTGTAATGCTATTTAACAGTATTGCGTTTTTACTTGTGTTGTTGATTAAATAAATGTAGCCTTCATGAGCCTTCTTTCAAAAACATTAAAAAATCTTAATCATTCTAAACCTTTGACTGGTAGTGTATTAAACATTTAAAAAATATAGTATGTTCAGTATTCATTGTAACACTCACATGCAAAGACTAAGAATAACATAGACCAGGGATCCTCAAATCTGGCCCACGAGTTCCACTTTCCTGCAGAGTTTAGCTCTGACCCTAATCAAACACACCTGAGCATGCTAATCAATGTCTTCAGGATCATTAGAAAATCACAGGTAGCTGAGTTTGATCAGGGTTGGAGCTAAACTCTGCAGCGCATTGGACCTCCAGGGCAAGATTTGAGGAACCCTGACATAGACCTTTCACCTGATCTTTTATTTAGTCAAGACCTTACAGTATATTAGGCCTGCCTTCAGTTTTCATATTGTCTACTGCCAACTAGAACTGAGGAATATTAGTACATTCTCAACCTGCCAAATTTATAGGAGCTCTGCCAAAGCCTTTAACATATTATTTCTAATCGGGCATTAGGAATCAGCTCTGAAAGTTTTGGCTGTGGCAGAGAAAGAAGCTGATTGGCTACTTTTGCATGGCTCAGGAAGGGATATGAACTCCATACCATCAGCATCAATCTTCAAAATTTCTCTGTTCTTGCTTTCATCTGTCACAAGAATAAACATAATCAGGCCTATAAATAAAGCAATGACAATGAAGTCATTTTTACTAAACGAATACTTTTCACTGCAAAATCGCTACTGAATAGTATAAGGACTGTTAACTCACACCTCAAAGTCGTTTCTCTCCAGAACCATCTCCTTCAGTCCCTCTAATTCCGAAAACTGTCCAAAATGGTCCTCTAAATTAGGAGAGGACAGCAGGTTAGTCTTCACCACACCTGGACTGAGAATGTTGATCCTCACCCCAAGGTTGGACTTCATAGCAACAGCCTGTTAAAAATACAAAATTAATCAAATCTGCCTGATTATTAGCAAGAGATGTACTCCCAATTATCTTTCAAAGCTTCACGTTCATGTGAGTTATTGCTGTCATTATATTACAATTGGGGGAAAAAAAGCTTGTATTCATTATATATTACTAACCATACTGCAATAGCACGGCTGAATCCCACAACTGCATATTTAGTCGCTCTGTAGATGGGCGCTGTTGGCACAAACCACAGACCTGTTGACAATATGAAAAAGTTGAGTAAATACAGTATATATATATATATACACGCACACACACAGATGAACCATTACATTATGACCACCCATCTAATAACCTGTAGGACCTCCTTTAGCCCACAAAACAGTGGCCATTTGAATTTGGAGCATGGTGCATTATCATGTCGGTAATGGCCAAGGAACACAGTTGCCACGAAAGGGTGCACTCCGCAACAATATTCAGATACTTGACAGCTGTCAGGGATTGTGCTGTTGGGATAGTGGGGCCTAAAGTGTCCCAAGGAAGCATCGCCCGCAGCATAACACCACCACTGCCGGCTTGTTTCTGCTCAAAAGTGCATCCAGGTGCCATAGCCTCTGTTGGTAATCGGTGTATCCTCGCTCGCCCATCTATGTAATGCACCAGGAATCTTGATTCATCAGACTACTTTCTTCCCATCATCCACGGTCCAATCTTGATGATCTTGGGCCCATTTCATGCTTTGTTGGTGATGGCGTGCAGTTAGCATGGTGACCCGGCTGGGTCGTTGGCTACGCAGGCCCATACACAGAAGGCTGTGATGAATTGTGTGCTGTGAGCTGTGACACCCTGGTCACCACTTTTGTTGCTGCTGGTGATTTGTCGCACAGTGGCCCTGCTGCCACAGCCTGAGCTGCGTACAACACACGGCTGGACTACGGTTTATCGTTTGGCCATCCGTGCACCACATTTGATATGTACTCACTACAGCATCACGTGAACAACCCACAAAGCATGCTGTTTCTAAGATCGAAGTTCAGAGGCACCATGCCATCAAAATATGTCCTTTATCAAACTCCGATAAATCGGCAACTTGAAAGCCAGTACTCAGGTGGTTCATATACTGCTCTGTGAACTGCACATGCGGCACCATTCGGTTGCCAGGCGTGCTCATTGCTAGGCTGGGGGTGGTCATAATGTAATGGCTCAGTGGTGTGTGTGTGTGTGTATATAGACAAACACACACATACGTGTGTGTGTGGCTGTATGTCTGTATATATATATAGCTATTATTTATTATATTATTTGATCTTGATTTGAAAAACAGGGAATATTGTGAAATATTGTTACAATTTAAAATAACAGTTTTCTATTTTAAATGTAATTAATTTCTGTGATGGTAAAGCTGAATTTTCAACAGCATTACTCTAGGCTTCTGTGCCACATGATCCTTCAGAAATAATTCTAATTGGTTGATTTGGTGCTCAATTATTATCAGTTATTACTGGTTATTATTAACAGTGGTCCTTATTCTTATCAATGTTGAAAATAATTTTTGGTGCTTAATATTTTTGTGGAAATCATGATGCATTTTTTTCCTTTAATGAATAGAAAATCCAACAGCATTTATTTGTTAAATATAAATATTTTGTAACATTATACATGTCTTTACAGCCACTTTTAATTAAATCATCATTGCTGAATAAAAGTATTCATTTATTTTTTTAAATCGTACCAACCCCAAACATTTGAGTAAAAATGTATCACTGTTTCCACAGAAATATTAAGCAGCACAACTGTTTTCAACATTGATAATAAGAAGAAATGCTTCTTGTGCACCATAATTAGCATATTAGAATGATTTTTGAAAGATCATGTGAGACTGAAGACTGGAGTAATGGCTGCTGCTTGTATCACAAATAAATTACATTTCAAAATATATTAAAATAGAAAAGTTATTTTCAATTGTAATGATATTTCACAATATTACAATTTTTTCTGTATTTTCAATCAAATAAATGCATTTGTTTATATAATATACATATTGTTAAAACATATATAATATACATATTAAAAATATATGTAAAAAATTTTATTGATTGACTCATATACTGTATTAAGTTCCAAACCTGCAGTAGATGATATGTTGATAATTGCCCCTTTGCCATCAGGATTGTCCTTCATTTACTGCAGAGCCAGATGTTCCCCTCCCCAGCCCAACCTATAACAGCCACCTGAACAGTGCAACATGTTGCTAGATCAGGGGTAGGCATGTTTGGTCCTAGAGAGCCGCAGTCCTGCAGAGTTCAGCTCCAACCCTAATCAAACACACCTGAACAAGCTAATCAATGTCTTCAGGATTACTAAGGCTATAGGCAGGTGAGTTTTGTTTTCAGGGTTGGAGCTGAACTCTGCAGGACTGCGGCTCTCTAGGACCGAACTTGCCTACCTGTGCTAGATGAACAGACAGACAGATGGACTGATGCATTATTAAAATCATACCATGTTTATGGCAATGGTTTTCTCCCAGTCATTTTCATTGAGGATCCCTGCATTGTTGTACATAATGTCAATGTGGCCAAACCGGTCCACAATTTTCTGAAAAACTCCTGTAAAGAAAATCTCATCATTTCATCTTTTCCAGACAAATAAAAAAGACTAATAATAATACAAATTATAATACACATAAAAATCTTTAAATACCTGTAAATTCCTCCTTAGATGAGACATCCGCTAGATAAAATTCAACCCTGTCTGGTCCATATTGCGTGCAATCACGTGATTCTGATGACGCGCGAAATGCAGCTGGAGGGCAGGAAGTGATTTTTCTCCATAGAAATCACTAACAAAACTCAAAATGCCTGTGTTTTGCATTGTTTATGGATGCTCAAATCGACCAAACTGAGAAACTACAAGGAGCTTTTATCGTGTACGAAATGTGTTGTTCATAAGGGGGAAAAAATCAATGAGCATCCATAAACAATGCAAAACACAGGCATTTTGAGTTTTGTTAGTGATTTCTATGGAGAAAAATCACTTCCTGCCCTCCAGCTGCATTTCGCGCGTCATCAGAATCACGTGATTGCACGCAATATGGACCAGACAGGGTTGAATTTTATCTAGCGGATGTCTCATCTAAGGAGGAATTTACAGGTATTTAAAGATTTTTATGTGTATTATAATTTGTATTATTATTAGTCTTTTTTATTTGTCTGGAAAAGATGAAATGATGAGATTTTCTTTACAGGAGTTTTTCAGAAAATTGTGGACCGGTTTGGCCACATTGACATTATGTACAACAATGCAGGGATCCTCAATGAAAATGACTGGGAGAAAACCATTGCCATAAACATGGTATGATTTTAATAATGCATCAGTCCATCTGTCTGTCTGTTCATCTAGCACAGGTAGGCAAGTTCGGTCCTAGAGAGCCGCAGTCCTGCAGAGTTCAGCTCCAACCCTGAAAACAAAACTCACCTGCCTATAGCCTTAGTAATCCTGAAGACATTGATTAGCTTGTTCAGGTGTGTTTGATTAGGGTTGGAGCTGAACTCTGCAGGACTGCGGCTCTCTAGGACCGAACTTGCCTACCTGTGCTAGATGAACAGACAGACAGATGGACTGATGCATTATTAAAATCATACCATGTTTATGGCAATGGTTTTCTCCCAGTCATTTTCATTGAGGATCCCTGCATTGTTGTACATAATGTCAATGTGGCCAAACCGGTCCACAATTTTCTGAAAAACTCCTGTAAAGAAAATCTCATCATTTCATCTTTTCCAGACAAATAAAAAAGACTAATAATAATACAAATTATAATACACATAAAAATCTTTAAATACCTGTAAATTCCTCCTTAGATGAGACATCCGCTAGATAAAATTCAACCCTGTCTGGTCCATATTGCGTGCAATCACGTGATTCTGATGACGCGCGAAATGCAGCTGGAGGGCAGGAAGTGATTTTTCTCCATAGAAATCACTAACAAAACTCAAAATGCCTGTGTTTTGCATTGTTTATGGATGCTCAAATCGACCAAACTGAGAAACTACAAGGAGCTTTTATCGTGTACGAAATGTGTTGTTCATAAGGGGGAAAAAATCAAGAAATTGGTTGAAAAACACAGGGAAAAGTGGCTTGTAAACCTGCGTCTGCGGTCGGGAGGAGCGGAGCCGGATAATGCTCCTGTGTGCAAATGGTTAATATAAGATATAAGAATATATTAAGATATTAATAAAGAAATATATAAATAGATACAGGGTGACAGTCAGAATTCACTGAATGCTAAACGCCACACATAGACACAATGTAAATAATATATTATTGGCAGTTCTGAGAGCTTCATATCACGGAATCGTGAGATTGCGATAAATTGAAGTGAGTGACAGCTTTTTAGTGATTAGCTTTATATGAAAGCTCTATTTGCTCACTTTCCAGGCTATAATCGATTCAGAATTTAAATAAAAGTTGTTTTAGGTGCTGCTAACAGGACCAACAGCCACATACCCTGTAACTTACATGCAGCACAGTTTCAGGAGTGACATATTCCACATCCCTCATATAAATACGGGATTCACTTTCGAAATAGTTGCTTAGCCTATATCCACCGCCTCAATGGCAGGCAAGTATTTCAGTTTAATTTAAAAATCGCTCCTCTACAAAATATATGGATCACGTCCAACATATGTTGTGATTATACCTTTCTCTTGTAATAGTGTGGTGGTTGAAGAGAGATCCCCTCATATGATTGTAAAGTGTGTTGTGTGTACAGCAATACAATGAAAGTGCTATATCGAAAAAATGCCTCATGCTAAAAAAAAAGTACAGTGGACTTTCCTCCATCTCATCCGTTCTGTTTTTTTTGTCACTCCTTAAACTTTGCTGCATGTACAGTATATTAACCATTTGCACACACGAGCATTATCCGGCTCCACTCCTCCCGGACGCAGGTTTACAAGCCACTTTTTCCTACGTTTTTCAGTCAATTTCTTGACGTTTTCCCCCTTATGAACAACACATTTTCGTACACGATAAAAGCTCCTTGTGGTTTCTCGGTTTGGCCAATTTGAGCATCCATAAACAACACAAAACACAGCCATTTTGAGTTTCTGCTAGCGATTCCTACGGAGAAAAATCACTTCCTGCCCTCCAGCTGCATTTCGCACGTCATCAGTGACGTCATGTGCAAACAACCTATTCTTCGGCAAGAGTGGAAATGTAATTGCTGATATCAAAAATAACAATTGTTACTAGTAGAAATCTAATTCCTGATATCAAGAATGAACATTTTAACTAGTAAAAATAGAATTGTTGATGTCAAGAATTCATATCCTGAGAATGAATAAAAGTCAAAACGGCTTGCCATAAGCCTTCAACTCTTTTCCCAATGGTTCATTCACGTCAATGAAGGCCACCTGTAATCAAAATGAATCTGTAGTCTGATGGGCACTGATAGTTACCACTTACAGCAGAAGCCCTATTTATATAGCAGAAAAAAATGGTCTTTTGGTTTTCATGTGTTTTGCATTTGTGCCTTGAATGTTTGATGTCTTGAGGTGATCATAATGCAAAATCAGAACTTTTCACTCACTTCAATTTATCGCAATCTCACGATTCTGTGATATGAAGCTCTCAGAACTGCCAATAATATATTATTTACATTGTGTCTATGTGTGGCGTTTAGCATTCAGTGAATTCTGACTGTGTCACCCTGTATCTATTTATATATTTCTTTATTAATATATTATTATATCTTATATTAACCATTTGCACACACGAGCATTATCCGGCTCCACTCCTCCCGGACGCAGGTTTACAAGCCACTTTTTCCTACGTTTTTCAGTCAATTTCTTGACGTTTTCCCCCTTATGAACAACACATTTTCGTACACGATAAAAGCTCCTTGTGGTTTCTCGGTTTGGCCAATTTGAGCATCCATAAACAACACAAAACACAGCCATTTTGAGTTTCTGCTAGCGATTCCTACGGAGAAAAATCACTTCCTGCCCTCCAGCTGCATTTCGCACGTCATCAGTGACGTCATGTGCAAACAACCTATTCTTCGGCAAGAGTGGAAATGTAATTGCTGATATCAAAAATAACAATTGTTACTAGTAGAAATCTAATTCCTGATATCAAGAATGAACATTTTAACTAGTAAAAATAGAATTGTTGATGTCAAGAATTCATATCCTGAGAATGAATAAAAGTCAAAACGGCTTGCCATAAGCCTTCAACTCTTTTCCCAATGGTTCATTCACGTCAATGAAGGCCACCTGTAATCAAAATGAATCTGTAGTCTGATGGGCACTGATAGTTACCACTTACAGCAGAAGCCCTATTTATATAGCAGAAAAAAATGGTCTTTTGGTTTTCATGTGTTTTGCATTTGTGCCTTGAATGTTTGATGTCTTGAGGTGATCATAATGCAAAATCAGAACTTTTTGTGCATTCAAAGAAATGGCTTCATTTACTTGTGCTTATATTTTAAGACTATAAATGTAACTTTAATATGAAGTCCTGGAGATCTAATGTCTTTAGAGTGTAGAGTTGATTTCTTAGCCATCATGAATTCTGACATAGTACTGCCTCAGGAATGTGTTTTGACAGCTTATGTGACATAATTTACATATAAACCATCTACAAGCAACTGCCTATTCAAATCTTATATTTATTTTTATAGGCAGCAATTGTGCTAACAGAGCAGTTTTGATAGAGCCATTTATGTCCTAGGTTTTGTTATAGCCTACTGTTTGAAGATCACATTAAAACTTTCTGTCTTCAATTTATTTTTGCCACTTTTAAAATGCCACCTTTACCCTAACCAAACACAGGCTTAAAATATGAAACCTAAAATATGAAAATACATCAAATCTGCATAGAGCATGCTTGCAATGAGACATATGGTACGTAAAGAACCGCTGAATCAGTTTTTAATTCGGGCTCTTTGAATCGAACTGTTCGAAAGAACCGATTCGATATATGACTCGTGGTTCACTAGCGCTCGCGCCACGGCACGCACAAGACTCGCGCCAAAACGAATTCGTCGCCATAAACAAAAATGTTGTGTCACTGAAGACTTAATATAAAGTTAAACCACAGACACGCCTTAAATTACTAAATAAGTGCTTCTTATTCACATCATTGACGTCGTTTTGTACTGGTAAGCACAGTTTTATTCGCACATGAATGACCTTTTACTATTAGCAAGATCAATTTAGCAGATAGTAAAAACCCCAGCTTGAGTAACGTTATTACATACGAAATCATCATATAAGCCTTTTACTTAATAGTTCAACAATACTTATGGTTTTGAGCTGAATTAAGAGAGTGAGAACAAGACAGAAAAGGTCATTAATTCGCATGGAGTCGACACAAACACTCAAAACTAAATATTGATGAGAAACCAGACCCCCTGATGCCACTGATAACTGGTAGACATATACACGTTTATGAATGATTTGGAAATGAATAATTTGACAATGAGTTATTGTTTCACTTTTGCACAATACTAATGTTAAACCTCTCAGCCAGTGATTTGTCAAGATGCGGAGGAATGAAAACCAGAGACCAGCCACAGGTAAGTCAGGATTTGGTGTCTATAATATGAATTCTTATGTTACTTGGTTGGAAATGCACGACAGAAAATAAAATCTACATCTACTCTCTAAATAATCTAGCTAAGTAGTTGCAATTTAATATATTTATTATTTTCAGAGAGGTCCCTGTACATAAATTTGCCTAATCAGTCAAAATAATGGAACTGCTTATGTGCTAATACAACACTTTGCTGCAGTTAAAAGTGTTATTCAGGTTGCTGGAGCCTGAAATCAAAGAAGAGTTTTGTCTTTCTGCAGGCAGTCTCTCCGTGCCTCTATTTAATCAAAGGAAGAGGAGCAGGCTGCCTTTGATGTCTAATCCTTCAGAGAGTGAGCTCTTCACTACCAGCCACTACAATGAGACAAAAACCTCCTCCTCTTCCTCCTCTGCTCTTCCTAGTATGTATTTCCACTGCACCAGTCTCGTATCTAATGCTGATGCAGCACTTTGTGCTACATTGTTCAGATGGCAGATATTCACTTTCCAGTTGATCATCATTATGTTACACTGTAATAATTTTTCAGCTAAGGTATGAACTCTAAAGCTAATTACAAGGATGTATGCAGGCAAAGCTGATAATGTCATTTTCTGTTTTTCATCAATTATGTTTTATTTTCAAATATAACCCTAGGATTCTCTTTAGTTTTAGGTCAGAGTGGTCAGTGGAACCAGCAAACCTATCTTTCATCACAGCAAGCCAGCATGAGATCTGCTCCTTCACCTGGTGTGGAGAGACGAGGATATGCACCTTTACCTCACCCAAAAAAACCTGCCTATGTCTGGTACTCAACTGATGCTAAGAAATAATGACTATATACCCAGAAAGGTCTTGAAGCTGCTGTGTCCGAATCTGTGCTCTATTTCTTCATAAACGCAGGATTGTATTTTAGAGCAAAGATCTAAAACCGTAAAGCAAGCATATAGCCAAAAATATCGAATTAAAATTGGTACTTTGTGTAAAAAAAAAAAAGAGCACCTGAGCCTTAAGAATCACTTATTATAGTATTTAAGTAATCTTAGGTAACACTTTAAAGGAATAGTTCATAAAAAAATGGAAATTTGGTGAAAATGTACTCATCCTCAGGCCATCCAAAATTTGGAGAAATTTAGCATTACGTCACTTGCTCACCAATGGACTATCTACAAATGAATGGGTGCCGTCAAAATGAGAGACAAAACAGCTGATAAAAACATAACAATAATCCACAAGTAATCCACACGACTCTAGTCCATCAATTAACACCTTGTGAAGCAAAAAGCAGTTTTTTGTAAGAAACAAATCCATCATTATCAATTTTGGACACTCATTCTGACGGCACCCATTCACTGCAGAGTATACATTGGTGAGCAAGTGATGTAATGCTAAATTTCTCTAAATCTGTTCCGATGAAGAAACAAACTCATCTACATTAGTTAACATGAACTAACAATGAAAAAAATACTTGTAAATCATTTATTAATCTTAGCTCATGGACATTTCAACATATTCTAATATATTAAAGAAATGTGAAAAAAAATCATACAAAAAGTTCTGTTAATATTATTTAATGGACTAGTGCTAACATGAACGTACAATGAACAACTGTATTTTTATTAACTGACATTAACAACGATTAATATACAACAAATGTATCGCTCATCGTTAGTTAAATTTAGGTAATGCATGTTAACTAATGGGACCTTATTGTGAAGTGTAACCTAAACTTAAAGAACATTGTCAAGTTGATTAACTTACACTCAATAATATTAAGTTGAATAAAACTGCTTGTTTAGACGTTTTACCGCATAATGCACATTTTTAGTTATCCTGAAAAGCATTTGTGACATAATATTTTGTATTTGTCACCATTTTACCTCCAGGTCACAGACAGGGCAACAGAGGCCTCCAGTGAGACAGGATTCGATGCCAGCAGTTGGATCCCAGCTTCATGGCGACTTTCCAAGGAGCAGCTCTGGTGCGCTCAGCCAGCCCAGATGGTCCAGCAGCATCCAGAATCAACAGTCATTTAACAGGCCGACAAATTCCCCCAGACTTCCGTACTCTTCCCAGCAGTGTACCCCCACAGCAGGAAGCACTCAGGGCCCTGGAGCTCAGAGTCACAGCGGAAAGTGGAACTTCAGACCTGTTGGACAATCAGCCAGTGGAATGTGGGCAAAAGAAAAGATGGACACCTTAAGTGTCCGGACCACCCCTCAGCAACAGGTGTGTGTCATTTCATTTACAAGTCTAAAGTGGCGGTCACATTCAACATATTAAAAAATCCAAAATGTAAAAATGCACAGTCTATTCCACTTTCCTGCAATGCTGCAAACCTGTACTGCTTTTTTCCGAATATGTTCTGCCTCTCAGTATAAAATGTTGTTTTATTTGTTCAGCTAACATTTCTGATTTACTCTCTCTCCTGGATAGAAGCCCCCTCGAGAGACATCACTGCATGTTATTACTGCTGTTATTGAGGGCATGAAGCACTGGAGTCAGTACAAGAGCAGAGTACCAATGCTGTTTGAGATGTTTGGTGAGGAGACTATCACACACATGCGTTCCCCTTGATTTGAGTCTGTGTCTAACAGCTCTGTCTCTCTGCACAGCTACACTGGACTCTGCAGTTACAGTTGGAGAACACGGAGCAAAGAAATTTCTCATGAGGCATAGTAAAGAGATGGTCCAGTGCCTTTACTATGAAAATGTGAGTCTGAGAATACTGGTTCTCTTCCAGAGGTGCATCTTTTCTTCTTCCATGTAACGCAATACACTACCATTCAAAAGTTTGGGGTCAGTAAGGATGCATTAAATTGAATTAAAAAACGACAATAAAGGTGTTTATAATGTTACCAACATTTTTTTTTCAAATAAATGCTGTTTTTTTAATCATCAAATGTCTTTCTAGTCATCAAAGAATCCTGAAAAAAATGTATTACAGTTTATACAAAAATATTAAGCAGCACAACTGTTTTCAACATTGATAATAAGAAATGTCTCTTGAGCACCAAATCGGCATATTTGAATAATTTCTGAAGGATCACGTGACACTGAAGACTGGAGTAATGACTGCTGAAAATTCAGCTTTTCCATCACAGGAATAAGTTGCATTTTAAAATACAATACGATTCAAATATGTGACGATTCAAATCGGTTGAGATGCTAAACAAATCGCGATTCATTTAGGGGTAGGAGTTTATATGAATGTATGTCTGAGGGGAACTTATTGTCTTTCGATGGTATTTTTTATTTCCTCTTGCCTCTGTATAATGCATATCAGGGCTCCAGACTCATTCTTCCCACTGGTCGCTCTTTTGCAACTAACTTTCTCAGCTGGCCGCACGAGCACATGATTTGGTCGCAATATTTTTTTCATTTTTTTTTTGTGCTACAACATGGGATTATTCATTGCATGCTGATGAACTTTTATCATAGTTTATAGTTATATGGAAATTAAAGTTGTTAACATTCAACCCATTCTTTATCATCAGTAGTATTATTTGTGATTTGAATTTTGTGAATGGGAGTTTCTTTTGCTGTGTTAAGCCGCGGGCTTCGGATGCTTTCACTTTCAAATTCGCGATCTTGTCACTGTTTTGCTTACATACATCTACACACCTTTAATTTTTTAAGACTAAAACAAAAGATGGATTCATTGTTATTCATAATCAAAAAGCACAACAACAATAAATCAGTAAGATACAATGACAAACTAGCTTACAAAACGTTTATTAACAAAAACGAATAAGATGAGGCATGGCACACACCACATGCTGTATTATATACCGACTAATAAATTACAGAACGTTTAGCAAACACTGAGGAATCAAATAAATAAATAAATAAAAGAGAGCCTCCATAGCTTAAGGTAAACAGCAAAGATAAGTTTTTCAAAAATGAAAACAAAAAGAAAAGTAAAACTAACGGTGACAGTGCTTGCATGTCAGTGCTTTGCATAACAAATGAAAATAATAGAAGCAATCAAAACCAACAAAAGAGCAATAATATGCAAGTGCTATATTAGTATATTATTATAGTGTTATATTTCAATTTCACAAAGAAACGTACAGTATTTTGTCTAAGCAATAATAAAAGGACACATTTAATTTATAATTTGTCTTAAATCTAATTTTGTTAAAAAAAATCGTGAATCGATTCGAATCGTGAAATCAAAATCGTGAATCGAATCGAATCGTGAGTTGAGTGAATCGTTACATCCCTAGTAGTGTATATTTTTAAAAATATTTTGCATTAACTATATTTTATATTTCCAAGTTCCATGAAGTTAATATGAAGATGATTTAAATGAATAATTCTCCCAAAAATTATAATTCTGTCATTATTTACTTATATACACTATTCATGTTGTTCCAAATCCGTATGACTTTCTTTTTCTCACAGAACACAGATGTTTTGGAGAATGTTCACATTGTTCTCTTCCATAAAATTAAAATTAATAGTTACCATTGCTGTCAAACTCCAAAAATGAAAAAAATTTAATAAAAGTGGCCTGTACCACTTGTACTCATACCTACAGTATTACTGTAGGTGGCAGTAATTTCCCCCCAAAAATATATATTTTAAAATATTTTTTTAAAATATGGAAGTAGTTGGTTTGTGTCAGATATGACATTACATATACAGATCTTAAGAAACAAAGAAACAAGATGCTGTCACTGGGTTATGAATTACACCTACTTATTCTCAATAGCGCATTTTCTATTTATCAAATAAGATAACGCATAATGACTGCACACTGTTATGTGATGTTGGCAATGGTTTAGACAACATAAACCTTGATGTCTTTGTGTATTTGTTCTTCAGGATCAGACACTGCCCAGACTGATCAGAGGTCAGGTGCATCGCTGCGTTGGAAACTATGACAGAGAAAAGGATATAATGACTTGTGTGTCAGTCCGAGCTGCTTCACTGTCAGAGCAAAAGAATGCCCTGGAGGCTGTGAGAGCGTCAGATGCAGAGATGAGGGATGTGGTGCTGGCTTTCAGTGAAATGTGATGTGGATCGAGTGAGTAACAGGAGAAAGATTAAACTAGCACAGACTTATACTGAAGTTAGGGTTGGTTTTGGTTTAGTTGTGAAGTAGTTAAGGAATGACCCATAATGGTCAGTGAATGTAAAACAGTTTTAAATCTGTGATCTGTATCTGTAGATTTTGATTCACGTTGCAGATTAGATGCATTTGTAATTTAGATTTATTTTAATTAATATGCATTTAAAATATTTTAGTTCTATTTTACATACATATATAATATCAAATTATAATTTATATGCATTTAAAATGTTCTAGTTCTAATTTATATGCATATATAATCTTGAGTTATAATTTAGATGCATATAATTTTATTTCCTATGCAACTATGCATACATAATTTAAATTTGTGACAATATATTTATTAATTCAAATTTGTATGCATCATATTTGAGTTCTAAATTCTACGTTATTATATTGTTAATTGGTGCATTAAAAAAAAAATTGTATTCCATTCCCAAACTTGGGAAATATTTTTTTAAAGATTTGTTGGTGTCTTCATTCAAAAGCCATCAATTTGCTAAGCTTATGAAATGCTTTATTACAAAGAAGAAACACATAACAGCAATTTGTTAGGGATTTCAAAGGTTAAACACAATGATGAGGTAACATCGCAAAATATATCTTTCAAAAGGGAACCAAACATCAGGATGCCGTTACAGAATTATTTACAACCAAAACATCACAGCGGGAAACCCACAGCACTAATCTACAAGATCTAAGATCTACCAGTGGTCAGACTTTACATACATGATTCATAAACAGAACTCAAGAATTCAAGTTGCCATTACTGTCAAGGCAATCAGAGGACGCCAGTGTACTCCTGCATAAACACGTTTAAAGGGCCTGTTATGTTTGACATCTCATGCCAGTTTAAAGTTGTGCTCTGTCCTCTGTTGTTGTAAGCACAACTATATCATCATAGAATTTGGTGTTAAATCTACAAAGAGAGCAGTTGAGTGCCAATGCCTGTAGCCAGTCTGAACACATAATACACAAATGAATCATCACAACAGCAAAAGTGAGCCAAGTGCAATATGGAATGATCCAAGTAGAAGCTTTAGCTTCACCGTATTGCTGTACCAAAAGTAAATGCATTAGCACATTAGCTTAATAGTTACAGCAAATTTCCCAAAGAAATACATAAATCTGTCATGACAAATCAGGACTGAATTGGTTGTCCTGTCTTGTTCAATGACTTGCTTATTTAGCTTTCATCATTTTTGCAACACTTTCAAAACAAAACAGGCCATCAGCTTTCAAGAAGCGCCAACATTTTAAAACTAATCATCATTAAAGATGGAGACATAGAGAAATAATCATACAATGTTAATCCAACAAGAAAGCATTTACAAAATGTTTTAGAAGTAGATTACCTGATAAAAGGTACTTAAGTCTTCTTAATGGTCAAAAGGCACAAGTTGGTTAGAAGTTGGTATTTTCCAGAACATAGTGTCTCACTGTTAACTAAGCCCAACTTTAACTAAGAACAGCCTGATTTGAGGAATCCTGAATAATTCAGTACTAGTAGGTGTTAAGGTAAAGAACGTGAAAAGAGACTTCACAACATATGCTGTTCACTCAGTTTGGGAAAACAAATGATTTACTTGTGGGATCATTTCACTTTCACATACAGTTGAGAAAAGTCCATGCTTGTGGTCCATCCCTGGCAGTCTGAAGCAACGGCCTGGTCCGCACTGTAAATACAGTTCCTTGATGGCCCTCACGAGGTTATGAGAAACAAAATGAAGAAAATTCAGACAGATGCCTGTGAATTAAAAACTTGTACGGAGGATTAAAAGGTCTCTTTTTACTTAAGCCACAGTGTTGGTCCTTGAATAGGTATTATATCAGGTGATAACACTTTCCGACTGATTTATTGAGTTTTAGTTCAGTTTCTCTTGATGAACTTGATGAAACGGTTCCTTTAAACCTGTTGGATCCATTAAAGGAAGTCCATTTAAAAAGAGCCTACCATTTATTTTTGTTATCCTTTCATTGCATGCTGATAAGTCTCAGTAAAATATTATTGGACATTTTTGGAAACTCGATTTTCATTTAATTTGCTATTTTTGGTTTTGATCCTTGCAAACAAAATTTCAAAAATACTAATTTGCACCATGGTCCATTATCCGTTATTTTCAGTAGTTAGTCCTTAGAGGTCTTCAATCAAGAACAAAGCTTGAAAAAAAATTGGAGAGAAAGACCAAAATCCATATAATCCTTTTCAAATGAATTTTTCACCTGACAGGTTGACTGTGACGGAAAAAAGACCTTATTGAATTAAGGAAAAACCCAATGAGAATAGAGGGGATGAAGGGTTTTGTCTTCAAGACATCATTGCCAACCATGGCAAATGATGCTGAGACTTTAGAGTCTGTCCGACCTCAAATGGATCACTTTATAGTTATGATGGCTGAGCAGGTTGAATATCGTTGGTGGTGCTCTATAAAAGAGTGGGCAATGGGGTGGGTGACAGCTGCTCCTTGGGGGCGTACTTAGCGAAAAAGGGCAGGAAGAGGGTGAGCATGACACCTACGATAGCCAGCATGTAGCCCCATCCTATCTGACACTCCCCGGCGTAGTAGATGTCAGAGTCTCCGCAGAAAGATTTGACCAGGCTGGAGTTGAGACCGAAGGGGTAAACCAGTAAACCAGATGCCATAATGACCACTAGAGCAGAGAAACAGAGGAAGCAAATGAATTATTGGTGCATTTGAGAGAAGTACACAGTGGAAGAGAAGTACAATGACATTTAGGTGTAAATAACACCACAAGACAATAACAAAACATGGCTAAGTGTTAGCTTTGAATTGTACTTTGATTTTAAAAGTTTCAGTCAAAACTGTCATTTTGAAGTACACATAAAATATATACATTTTTATGGAATCTTAACACATTTACATTTTGAACATATGGGAATTAGGGCATATTCAATATGAAACATTTATTAATTACATCAAAATGATATACTGCAGACCCCATAAGATCAACTAAGTGGTTTTAATATGATTAACAACTAAGTGGTTGATTATTGTCAGACAATTTTGTCTTGTTTATTATAAACAAGTAATTATTAAAATAAAACGTTAAATGAATGAATTAATAAATTAAACATGCATCAATCAATTGTTGTTCAAAAATTAAAAGGCTCATAAAATGAATAAAATAAAAACCCATTTTACCAGAATTATTAAAGAAGCAATTTCTAAAATTATAAGTTATACCTTTTAATGATACTGAGATATTTTATGATTGCCTATATTTAAATGTTTATAAATTGTGTTGCCTTTATTTTTTTTTAAGTTTGGTTGTAAACAAAATAATTCCATCCACCCAAATTCATTATTTTTGGCTATAATAGACCCCTTTCACAGATACTGATGCCATTTTTCCACAGCTTATAACATTTTAAATATAGTAACGTTTCTTATATATTCTTTTTTAATACAATGGCTGAGAAAGTGACAGTAATTTTGACATCTTTCTATCTTCTGATGACCGTAATCTCATTTAATTTCCTTTTTTGTAAAGTCATAGAAACATTATTGCTTTTTCCCTTCGCTTTTGGATCAGCTGGGAACACACAATTATATTTATTGTTGTTTTTGTTCACCACTATAGTTTACCCACCTATCACTAAAGCTTCTTAGAACCCCAGAAACGTGAAAAGGGTCCATACCCCCTTAATAAAATTCTGATCAGTCACTAATTATTGTTGTAGTAACAACAATAATGCTCAGGGTGGCAGTAGAGAGCTGTGTTTCTGCAGAACTGAGCATTAACGGAAGAAAGGCCCACAATACTGTTTCCAATTTTGTCATAGAAATATCAAATATATACAAAACCATCAGCCCATGTATGTCTGAAATCAAAATTCATTGAATGATGACTGACAGTCCCTGAATGTGGGGGGTGTATGGTCACTGAGGAAAGCCATTAAGATAGTTTCTGGGCGATCCATTTTCTCAGTCAGTATCAGTGCTCACTGCCCATGGCTGAACAGCTGTGTTAAAATCATTTGCTGTCAAATATCTATTGAATCAGGATCCATTGCTATGCTGGCAGAGTACATGCATCTTCAATTTGATTGAACTATGGTCACAGTAAAAGCAATGCCTTTTAAAATGTTAAAAGTTCAAGACATATATATATATAGAGAGAGAGAGAGAGAGAGGAGACACATTGGGTACAGTGTTATGATATAACATAATATAATACACTACCATTCAAAAGTTTGGGGTCTTTTATTCAGCAAGGATGCATTTAATTGACCAAAAGTGACAGTAAAGGTGTTCATAATGTTTCAAAAGATTTCTATTTCGAAAATAAACTGTTCATCAAACTATGTGATTCTTCATTAAAGAATCCTGCAAAAAAATTTATGACTAATTTTCCATAAAACTATTAAGCTGTTTTCAACACTGATAAAAATGTTTTTGAGCACCAAATCAGCATATTAGAATGATTTGTGATCACATGAATAAATTACATGTTAAAATATATTAATATAGAAAACAGATATTTTACTTTGTAATAATATTCCACAATATTACCGTTTTACTGTATTTTTGCTCAGATAAATGCAGTGAAAGAGGCTTTCTTCAAAAATGTCACAAAATCTTATCAATCCCAAACATTTGAATGGCAGTGTATTTGAAAATATGATGAATATTATAAAATATTTTATAACAATAACAGGTGCTGTGCATTGATGTGGTGAATAGGTGTTTCTATATTGAGTATTTTCATGACTGTTTTGACCAATCAGCATCCAAGATTAGTTTAATCATTGCAAATATCACATGGAAACCCCCAGTACTACCGAAATACTGCATAATGGGTATTAATGACTTAATGGCTATTTTTGCCTAGGGCCGCAGAACATCTTAATTCATCTATCTATTATCCTTCTTCAGCTTCTCCACACAAAAAGACCCAGAAGCCCCTCTCATCCCTGCTACCACTCTAAGAACAGTGCTTTTCCTTCAGTTTAATGGCCTCGGATCCAGCTGCGTTCTACATTGGCCTGTGTTTATCAGCGGAGGCCTGACATCTCAAAGCTGCTCTGCTAATGGCATCACAATGTCCTTCTCTATCTTTGCCTGTATCCGCACAAAGATGCAGTCAAACGCGCCTTCTCCGGCTAAGGGAAATAACTGCTATCAGTGGATGTTTACACTTAGATGACAGGGCATTCAATGAGACTCAACAAGCTATTCAATAAAATTTCATTTCGAAGGCAATCTTCAATGAAAGACACACATATAGATAGCACTACTGTATGGAGTTTAATTAAAGCGGGTCAAATCAACAAGGGCTTCGCTGCAGAGGCTCGCAAAGCTCAGGGCCAATTGCAGTCTGGATCAGATAAAGACTTGAGCCCGTATGTGTGTGTGTGTGTGTGTGTAAGGAATGGCACACTGCTGTGTGACACTTCAAAGTCCACATCAACTTGATTCTCAAATTGCACAGTGTTACAAAGTGGACTTGATGGTATTTTGGTAATTTGTTTTCACATGTGGCTTTGATTCACAAATGATGAATAACATGCTGTTAAAAGTGGCTAAATTTAGATTCAGGGTCAGCGAGTACATAAAGCTAAGAGAGTCAGTTTGCTTTAAAAAAGGACATACTCCAACACCAAAGACCTGCTTTAAAGAAATATTACAGGTTAAATGTACCATTACCACAGTAAATAATTCAGCATGAAAGGGAAGTTCAATCTTTCTTTTTCCGTATCATGACATATATTGAAGTGAAACTGCTTCTCGAACAAGAAAAATGTAGGATGGGACTTGATTTTATCCATCCCAAATTGATTGGATCATTACAGATGATTTTGGATTTCATGGTGACTTTAACTCATCTATCAGCTTGAAAATTGAATCAAAAAATACTTCCACTCGCTCTTACGAATCTTCATCCCCTCCAGAAGCCTGAGATCGGTACGCCTTGTGGGTACCATCACAGGGAGACACAAAATCACTTTCCGCAATCTTCCCAACCCCATCTGGAACTCCGAATCCCTCACAATATTCAAGAGACAGCTGAAAACTCTTTTCTTCCGAGAGTACTTAACTGCATCATACTGAAAAACAAAACAAAAAAACTTGTGTTTATTTGCCTCTTTGTAATGTATCTCTTGTTGTATTTCTCATTTGTAAGTTGTTTTGGATAAAAGTGTCTGCTAAATTAATAAATGTAAATGTATAAAATATGTTGATTGAAATGCGCTTACAGTGGAATTCTATGGGCAAGTGTACAATGTTATTAGTTTTCGTTGTTACAATTCTTATATTTTGTCATAATAATATATTTACATAAAAAATAATTCAATTAAATTGTACCAAACATTTACATATATACTGATAAATATTTAGTTGATGAAATGGTCAATTAATGATCAATGTTGGTACTTTTTGTCAGACACACACATACATACTTACAATTTAATATTTTTTTTTATTCATCCAATCATCCTGTAGATTTGTATGTTAACTTTGTGTGATGAACAGACTGAACAGACTGTCTTTAGTCCACAGCAATGCACAACGATTGCCATTGGTTCTTGTATCTGTTGTAATCGAATGTGGACACAGCAATTTGAATGTGCAGAATGGAAGGGAATGGAAAAAAAATCCTTTTGGCTACATTCACACTGTCAGTTTTTGGAACTGACGACTTCAATTACTTACAGGTGTGAGTATTCTGTTCACACAGCAGCTTACAAAAGTGGCTTGAATGAACGAGTAACCAAAGTCATCACCTGATGTAACCATAGAGACAGTGACTAAAGTAATATCAAAGATGGCGACATCCATAAAAAAAGTCTTATCACATTTGACTGCTGCTGTGTGAACGTTGCCAAAAATCAGCAAACAGGTTAGAGCAGCATCAGAGTAAATCATGACAGAATTTCCATTTTTGGATGATCTATCCCTATAATCTTTGTCCCGTTATTGATTTTAGCAAATGCAAGTGTTGTAGCCACTACGAGACACATGACATCGGCTATGCGGTCAACATCTGTCCACCTCCAACCTTCAAAGCTGGATATATCATGCAACTAAATTCTATTTTCTCTCTAATTTAAACATTTTCGTAGTTTCCTATATAAGCGCTGTGCTTGGCGTGGAGAGGTTAGAGGTTATATGGCATATTTGATCTGTCCTATTCCCATTCCCAATCTTAAAGCAATACTGAGCTGCAGAAGCTCATTTCTTGCTTGGCAGGGTTGACTTACCACACATACATGTGACCTGCGGCCACTGCTGTAATCCACTGGCAATATGTGCTTTGGTGACAAATGATTTGATGATGAGATTCAGTGAATAGTGTAATAACATTCTAGCCTGCCTCTCTCATGGCACACGTCTCACAGGGCTTGATTCTGAATCTGCTCACCACAGCAGAGAGTTTCCAGCGCAGCCATTCATTATGACATGATGAGGTCAGTGTCACCATCGCTTTGAATGATAGTGCATACGGATCTCTTTGGGGATGGTGGGAGACACATGATAATGTGAACTGCACAAAAAGTGTGTGGACCCATTGTTCGTGATTGAATTGCAACTGAGAATGAGTTTAACTGTGAGTTAACTTAAAATGTATAATTAAAAAGAATAAATGCATAAACTTGTTCACAAGAATTTGAAAAGGGTTTAAACTCT